ACAAAGTCTGAATAGGCATGGAAATCGTCCTTCGGATTGGATCTTTGGGAGGCTCCAAATGGATTCTACTTCTCTTTTGCACCCATGCCTCATTTCTTTGCTCCAATGCACCTAATAAACATCCAAATGTACCAAAATACTCTACTAGGACCTAAAATATACCTTAAACTCTAAATGCAACCTAAAAGCTATACAAAACACCAATTCCTATTCTAAAATGACATGAAATCTATCATAATGCAACCTATATGATGCATGATTTATGGTAATATCAACTCCCCCAAACTTATTCATTTGCTTGTCCCCAAGCAATAACATGTAAAGACCAACGTCTAAGGGAGTGACATTCTAAAAAGGAGAATCATCTAATCAACAAGGCATCATGAAAAGAAATCAAATCAACATCCTTGATACTAATCCTATGATGCATTGAGGCTTTCTACTCACAAGAGACTAGCCATGCACATCACAATACACATTGCACTTATACCAATTAAGATTAAACCATTTGTCTAGGGACAAGGTTATGAGATAAAGATGATCTCATTTAGGCTCCGGGTTTCTCAAGTACGGATCTCTCGGTGAATGAGCGAACTTCGACAAAATGCTAAAGGTTAGGAGCAATTTACGCATACAAGGGAAGACTCTCGTCTACCCCGCTTTCCTAAAATATCTCTAACCTAAGCCAATCCTTTAACCCAATTTCACCCAAGTCCTAACTACCCTCTCACCTTCTTATCATTGGGTATTTCCCCTTTTCAACTATGGTTAGATGCTCTTTTTTTTTTTACTCCATCTAGCTCCCTTTTTCATTTGATACCACACCTCTTCTTATCTTTTTAGAACGCCATTTGGCTTCTTCTTTTACTTATTTTTGAGGCTTAACTTAGTTGTTCATTTGGAGCTCTAAACCTTATTGTTTGCATCATCTAAACCATGAATTTGTTCCCCTTTTGAATTCTTTTTTTCTCTCTTTTTTTTTTTTTCTTTTGATCCACCATTACACAATCCAATTCCCCCAAACTTGGACTCCAAAGCATACCCATCCTTAACTAGCCTAGGCCTAGTTAACTCCTTGACGATGGAGTTAAAACTACACAAGAGCCTTCCTTTGTCACTCTAAACCTAACACTTTTTGTCAAGTTGGCTCGAAAAGAGGCCTCACAAATTCACACACAATGTTTTGGCTAGAAAGGAGGTCTATTGGCTTGGTAGGGAATCTACTTAGGCATTTTAAAGAGTGGTAAAAATGGATAAGAATGCCTAAGTATGTGTATGTAATCCATGGTTTTATCTCCAATTAGCATAAGCTCAATAGTTGATCCATGCATGGTTCATTCTTAATTTCACACACAACCATCAAAGCATCAAATGATAAATAACGAGGGTGGTGATCTCATTCCTAATTGTGATACCTTGGTTTAAACCATTCTCCCATGCGTATGAACTAGACTCAATCCTAAGTGCAAGACATAAAAATCGAAAAAAAATTAAACCAAAAATGCATGAATTCTACCATTCTCCATGAGACTCAATGTTCTAAATAGAAAATAAGATCACTAAACACAATGTTAAATGTCTCGAACTCTCCCCCAAACTTAAATCACACCGTCCCGGTGTGAAAGAAGTTCAAAGAAAATTTCGAAAAACAAAAGCAAATAAAAGACTCAAGAAAAACAAAAAAAAAAAAATATTTACAAAGGTGCATTTGATACCTCAATTTGATTCCTCGTTGTGCATGTTCAAACCTTGCCAAACTCTGTTTTTAGACCTTAGCTCTTTTAAACCAAAGCACTACCGTACCGTACGGCCTTACCTCCTTGATGGTAAAAGGTCCCGTCCATCTCGACTTGAGTTTTCCTGGAAAAAGCTTTAACCGGGAATTATACATTAAAACCTTATCATGTACCTTGAAATCCTTGGGGACGATTTTCTTGTCATGGAACTTCTTTGTCCTCTCCTTGTAGATTTTTGAGTTTTCATAAGCTTCAAGACGAAACTCATCCAACTCGTTTAGCTGTACTAACCTTCTTTCCGAGGCGGTTTTGATATCGAAGTTAAGGAGTTTTACCGCCCACAAAGCCTTGTACTCCAACTCTACTGGAAGATGGCATGACTTACCGTACAAAAGATTGAACGGTGTAGTTCCAATTGGTGTCTTGAAGGCGGTGCGATAGGCCCACAACGCATCATCTAGCTTCTTGGACCAATCCTTCCTTGTAGTTCCCACGGTCTTCTCTAGGATACCATTGATTTCACGGTTAGAGATCTCGACTTGCCCGCTGGTTTGAGGATGATATGGTGTCGCAACCTTGTGTTTCACCCCATTTTTCCTTAACAAACTCTCAAACAATTTGTTAATAAAATGCGATCCACCATCGCTTATCACCACTCTCGGAATGCCGAACCTAGGAAAAATGATAGATTTAAACAACCTTACTACCACTTTTGAATCGTTTGTCGGGGTAGCTACAGCTTCTACCCACTTTGAGACGTAGTCAACCGCTACTAGGATGTACTTGTTGCCGTAAGAAGACGGGAATGGTCCCATAAAGTCTATCCCCCAAACGTCGAAGACTTCGATCTCAAGTATGGGGTTTTGCGGCATTTCGTTCCTTCGACTTATGTTGCCCTTCCGTTGGCATTGATCGCAGCGAGATATGAACTCATGGGCGTCTTTGAACATGGTTGGCCACCAAAAACCTGATTGCAATATTTTACTTACCGTTTTGAACGTTGCAAAGTGGCCACCATAAGCTGAGCCGTGGCAATGCATTAAGATCCCCGAGACTTCCTCTTCTGGAATGCATCGTCTATAAAGACTGTCCTTGCAAAGAGTGTACAAGTATGGCTCGTCCCAATAGAAGCGGTTAACATCTCTGAAAAACTTTTTCCTTGCATATCCTTGAAGGTTTGGTGGTTCCTGTTCACAAGCCAAGTAATTAACATAATCAGCATACCAAGGTAAACTTACCTCCATGGTGTCGTTAACCAGTAGCTCCTCAAGCATGGAATCGGCCTTGGTTAATTCTTGGATGAAATTGACTTGCTCTTCGGGCAAGGAATCATCAATTGGTATGTACTCTTTGATTTTCATCCTTGACAAGTGATCAGCCACTCCGTTTTCTATCCCTTTCTTGTCTCTTATCTCGAGATCAAACTCTTGCAGAAGTAAGATCCACCTCAATAACCTGGGTTTCGTGTCCATTTTTTTGCCAACAAATGGACACGAAACCGGCGTTGGGTTCAGCTGCCAAAACAGTTACTCAGCTGCAGCGTCTGTAACTGTTAGGTTTCGACAAATCCCTCGAGCGAGCTCTCTGCGGTTCTTAAAAATGACAAATTAGATACAGAGAGTTAACAAATTTTGCAATTTGGATATCAACACTGAAGCTAAGATGTCGAGATTCATACTGAAGCAAGGATGCGAAATCGAAAGTGAAGCACCCTAATTTCAAACTGCAGACGAATCGCGACCCAGAATTGAAACCCTAGTACAGAAAACTAAACCAAATCGCAAAACAGAGGTAAAATGACTCGAGATTAACGAAGATTTTACCTCAAACTCACCGGAACTTTGAATCGCCCTAGGAGTCGCACGAGCAAAGCTCTCGCCGTCGAAATCGCAGATTAACTCGAAAATGAGAGTCTCTTCCAAAGACTCTGAATCACCCAGAGTGTTCGACGCGAAAAAAAAAAAACGTAACCAATGCCCTGCTGCCACGTGGTAAGGATTTGTTTCTTAAAGTCCTTAAGCTTTTTTAACATCAAAAAGCTTCAGAAACCCAAAATACTTTCACGGCTTCTCCGACTTCAGAAACTCAACGGTAGGGATATTATATAGGGTAGCCCAGCCCAGCCCAGCCCTATTTTATTAAAACTCGGCCCTTTTTGAGCCCTAACCCTTTTTAGCCCTGAAAATTGTGTATAACAGGGCTGAACCCTATTCTGGCCCTTTTCAACCCTTTAGTTTTTTTCTTCTCATTTTTAAAGAAGTATGTACAATTTTTTTTTTTTCACTGTACACAATTTTTTTCATAAATAACATTTTAAATATTTAATTTTTTTGTAGCCCTGGTATCCGGTTAACTCGGGTTTTTTGTAGCCCTGGCAAAGCAGAGCGGCGAAGTTGACGCGATGCGTCTTGTTGTAGTTCGCCGAGGCAGGGTCGGTGATGAATGGATGGAGCCCATAGAAGCACATGGCGAGCTCAGGTAGCTTCAAAGTACTCATCTCCGCGCGGGCGAAGATGGTACTACTCATGAATCGGACGGCGAGGCGGAGTACCGGATTGCGGATTAGTGCCTGCTTGGCACCTCGCGAAACATAGTCACCAGACCCAAAGGTCTGCCAGAAATCAGAAGCGTCGGTTACTCCATCAAATTTGGTCTTCTCCTTCCGTGGGAAGCCATAGAGATCACATAGCTGGCTAAGTGTGACGGTAAACGGCCGCTTGGCGAGGAAGAAGGAAATGAACCCATCGGTGGCATCAGGTGGATCCGTCGGGTAATGAAGTTCCACTGTGGCGAGGAACTCAGCTGCAGCGTCAGGAAACAGGGGCCATCGCTTCTCAGGGAAGCTGCCAAAACCGGCGTTGCGCAGAAACGCCAAGACATTATCAAGAATGCCCATCGCCTCCAAGACATTGGTCTCCAGGAACCGTGTGGGTTCAAATTTGCAGGCGCATATATATATCTATTAAAACACTGTGTTTAATAGATATATATATATATATTATTCAAAATAATATATATTCGTCTATATGAATTGTAATTTTATTAGAAAAGAGTATATAATCAGCTACATGATCGAAGCCTACAAGTCCGTCCTTAAGCTTATTAAAGCTAAATTCGAAAAGATGAGGTCCGCCGAGAGGTCCCTTAGCAAGGCTCAAGAGGTCCAAGCCAACATCGACCTCCTGGAGGAAATCATAAGGAGAGAAATTAGCGACCTCCAAGCTGAGAAGGAAAGGCTGACCAACCAGGAGCTCCCAAAGAGGAAGGCGAAGTTGGAAAAGAAAGCCGTCTCTGACTTCTCTATAAGCAAGTTGGCACTCCCACAGGTCTCCGAAGGCTCGAATGACGCCATGGAAGTGGACCAAACCAAAGGGGCTCCACCTGCGACCGATCAATAAATGGGGACCCAAGAACCGGAAAAGGCCAAGGACACCGAGGAGCTGATGGATGAAGCGCAAGAGAAGGAGCAGGCAAGGAAGGAGGACCTGGGGCCGCGTAGTGAGAGCCTTAGGTCCCGGTTTTACCACTTCAATAATTGATCCAAGTTTTAAGAATCGTTTGCTTAAGTTTTCGTTTTAGACCGACCAAATCGAATTTCGGTGAATCCCAGTTTTAGACCGATCAAATCGAATTTCGGTGAATCCCGGTTAAAAAAAACCGGTTTAATCCACTTGAATCGAACCGGGATTCGATTTGCTCTTCCTCTCTCTCTCGCGATTTAAAACGAAAAAACACTTTCCTTTTTTTCTCATTCTTTTTCACTTCTCCATTGAAAACCTTTACAAGCTTTTGAACTTCAATTCATCACATCTTTTTCAATTCTTCACGGATTTGAACGATTTTTGGATTGTCACCCTATATCCATTGCCCATAACGCCGTCCTCGATCTGTTAAGGTATGTGCCTCGATTTCTCGTTTTTCAGTCCGAAAATCAATTGGTTCTTGAGGTTCGATTTCTCTTCTCTCATTCACAGTGTGTTCTTCAGTTGTTTATGACTTCCTGAACTGTCAATGAGTTAATCATGGGTTTAAGTCGGTTTCGTTTACTTGATTTCGGATCATGGGTTTTGTGTGCTTAGTTGATTATTGAGAGAAGAAAATTGTTTTCTTTGGTGTGTTTGATTTACACGTTTTGAATTTGTTCATCTTCTGGTTGCCGGTTGCTCCTTTGGAATATAGCTTTCTCAAGAGGTTGTTGAGTTCTGCAAATCTCCGACCAATGGGTGGTGGAACTACGGCTGAGGATCGGTCAGAGATTGCGCTCTTCAAAGTCAAGAAGAAATTTCCGTTCCAAGGAGAGAACTCGATTCTAGAGTTCACATCAATCCTGGTTTGTCCGAAGAAGCTAGTCGAGCTTCGAAACTACCCCCCTCGGTTGGTGCAATGCAATATGTTTGCAAAAATTGCTGATGACGTTTACGATATTCTCGAAGGTTAAAACGTCTCACTTTCTTCTCTTGATTTCTTTGATTCTGTGTGGTGTATGCTTCACTTTCTTCTCTCGATATTTTTCTGTTGATTCGTTGATGTGTGTTTAGTCTTTCTTAAAATTCCGCTTAGTCTTTCATGCATTGACCTTTTTGTTGGTGTGTGTATATAATAGTTTAGATAAATTGCATGCGTGTACATGAAAGATAATGGAAACGAAATTGTATCTTTCCAAGTGATTACCGTTAATAGAAAGTGGAAAATTCTGTTCTTGGTGTATGTTTTGGTTTGTTCAGTTGTGTTGATTTTTTTTGGGGGGTTTATACTGTAGGAAGGATATGGGCAGGTCACAACGTATTGAATTTTGATTGTCCAAGGATAAGAGAAGCATTTGTTGAGATAGGACGAAATCCACCAGAGCCAAGGGGTATCATTGACTCGTTGGCGTTGCTTACTCAAAGATTTGGGGTGAGAGCTGATGATATGGAGGTAACAATGATACTAAAGAGACGGACTTACTCTTCCGAGCTCTTGAAATCAAATGTGACAGCTTTGTTGGATGCTTATTCTGTTTTCCTGTGACCTTTGTTTGGACAGCTCGCGGAATGGGCTGCCTACTTTGGACTTTGTAACCAGACGCATTCGAGTCTGGACGATATCAGGATGAATTTCGAGGTTCTCAAGTGTTGTGCGACTGTCTTGTTCTTGGTATGCTCTCTAATCTTGTGATTGACTATCTTGTGCTTTGTCCTAATCACTCTACTGCACGATTTTCTGCATATATTTTAATGATGTAACATGCTGTTTCAACAGAAGTCAAATCTTCCAGATAAACTTATAGAGTACTCTGAAGACTGTACGAATATCAACAAATCTTCCGCTGATTGGAAGACCGGAGAGAACTCAAACGCAGAAGCTCAAACGAATCTATTTGATATGAGCACTTTGAGGAAGGAAATTCCCACGGACATTGTTGCCTCTGAGGGTACTGGTGACCAGGAAAGATTCTTGGATCTTGATGAAATATCAATTCCAAGCATCACAGCAACTCATGTCGGAAGCCAAAGAAAGAAAATACAGCTCTTCCTTGGGGACAGACCCCTTCGTCTCCATTGTCCTGAACTGGAAGTACACTTTGGGATCAATTTCAAATTTCAGGATACTGCTGGGAGACCAAAGTTGAACTTTGTAGTTAATTTGTATCCAAGTCTCTGTAATGTACTGCAAGAATGCGACAGTGCTGCACATGCAACATCTATTGATTCAGGCAGCATTTCTGAGTGGAACCCAGTAATCATCCCAATAAGAATTTCAAGCTATCCTACCGCAAGGATTCAGTAAGTTTGTCTATGTCTCTTTCTCTTGGTTCCATTTAGGAACCATGTTTGCTTAGCTTATCCTGATTGTTTCTTTGTTTGTGCAGTATACCGGCAAAGTCTTCTGGAACTGGAGACCGGTATGCAGCTGAGATACACAAGAGAGAGACCTCTGGAGTTACCATTTTGAGGAACCCAAAAGCTGAGGAGCTCAAAGACATGGTAAAACCAGGAACCGTCCTTGATGCCTTCTTGTCTTTGGAGCCATATGATTATATGGAGAGAGCTGGAATCCGTCTAGTTGCTAAAAAGCTTGTGATCCACTAGCTTCTCCTTCTCTTTCTGTAAAACCGTTTCATTTAGCTTCTCTTTCATTGTAACTGAGTAATCTTGTTAATGTTAATGTTGTGGCAAACCCATAGAGATGACACTTGTAGATAAAGTAGATGTGATTATTGTCTTAAGATGGATCACTAAATTTCTTAACAAATTCAATTTTCCACACACACAAATTGAGTTTTGTCACAAATATAACCAATGTCAATGTATGTAATATAATACATGAGATAAAGTTACTTTATCAAATGTACTTCACTTAATAGTTAAAAGATGGATGATGTCTCACCAGCCATTATTCATTTAAAAACAAACCAGACTTCAGCTTTTGAAGGGTTACGCAATACCTCATGATTTAGTTTGTAGCAAGAGCATACTTTCGAAACATTCCATTTCCAGTAGAGTTTAACAAGAAGAACGGGACAGAATCGTAACAAGTTTAACTAGTGCGGATTACATCAGCTAGACAAACTTAGAAATCATACAAACATTCCAAAAAGAACCACCACCAGTCCTGGTCGTAGAGTTTGCATGCATTTTCCCCCGGTAGAGATGACAGCATATTGCTAACAGATTCATACATACTTGAGCCGAGGCTTACTGGATCAATATGCACTATCACAAGAGCGATGGGAGCCAATGCTGCTATTGTTACGATCACGGCAGCCTCGTCTAAATCGGTAATGTCCTTCTCCGGACTATTAGTCAATTTGCACATCCATTTATACAACTTGTCGGCAATCATAATAATTTTGTTTCTGAATTCCAGATTCTGACTACTCTTATTCAGAATGTACTGTTTTGTAGCCCTTCCTGCAGACTCTACTGTTTCTTTAACGAAGAGAGTAGTTCCCATGAAGACAATATCACCAAGATTACCGAAATCGCGACTGGTTTGGCCACCATCCAATTTTTCCATAAGTCTAATTGTAGCCATTGTCTTCTCCTTAAGCAAGATATCATTGTTGGCCAGAGACTGTCTAAGCTCATCCAATGCTTTATATGCAAGTTCTGTGTCCACCTCTAACCGCTTCAATCTTTTTGCAACATCTGCCTCCACATTTTGGGCCGTCTCTTTAGTAAAGATTCCTCCACATTTTGGGCCGTCTCTCTGCTCCAATTTGTTTGCAAGACTTGACTCCGCATTTTGGGTCGTCTCATGAGTAAGGCTTTCTCTTCCAACATCAACACATTTTTCAATTTGATCTATAAGACCTTGAAAATTGTCTGGCGGGATGGAGGACGTAACAGGGAATGTCCTCTTAGTACTAAGCCATTGGTTTCTTAACAAGTAATGATAGGAGAGAGCACTAACTCCACTTCGTTGTTTTGAGCTGACAAAAAATAAAAGAGAAATTACTCAAATTGCATAATCAACTCAAGGTATCAAAATTAATGCCGCCAAACCAAAAGAAAAAAGAACACAGAGAAGACAAAAAACTAGTAATACTAACAAAATCATCAAACAAGAAAATGTTCCAAAGAAAGAAGAGCACAATCATAGCGAATTCGAGACCATAACCCCGGTTCACGCACAATGAGAATCTCAGGTTTCTTCTTATTGTGAAGAACAATTGTGCTTTGATGGTTTGATTAGAGGGTAGAAGCTATTATATAAACGCTACAGTATAAAAGATAGAAATAGAAGATGAACAAAGGATATTGAGATGCTAACCTTTCTATCAAACTCTTTCTTAAGAACTTGGATGCTAACCGCATTGTGGTTGAGGAAGAGACCACCAGTAGGTCTCGCAAGCAAACAGCAGAGTTTTTTTTTTGTCTGCAAACTGCAGAGTTTTTTTTTAAGCTCTGTGTTAGTTACAGAGAAGTATCTTTTTCTACCGAACAAAAAAATAACTGTGTAAAGTTTTTTTTTTTTAATAAAGATAGTCACGTTTGGTCACTTCAATCTTCTCTTTTTCAGTTTACCGAGACACGTTTGGTCACCAAAACACTCAATGAGAACAATATCTTTCCAACATTTGCAGAAAAAAAAATATATATTTCCAACATTTTTTTGCATTTTGATTTTTACTGTACCCAAAAAAAACCTAAGAACTGTGTAACTTACACATTCATTGTCAAATTAGAGGTGGACAAAATATCCGAACCCGAAGAACCGAACTGAACCCGTAGTCCCGAACCCGAATCCGAACTTTTGAAATACCCGATCGAATCTTAATTTTAATACCCGAAAGAACCGAAACCGAACAAAGAACTGAATTAGTACTTAAAATATCCAAAATAATTATAAATTCAAAATATTGTTTATGTTTTATATTAATATATATAATATAAATAATCAAATTTTAATTTTTATTTCTAATATTATTTATTTTTATTTAGGTAGTTTTTTAATATTTTACTCAACTATTTTGGATATTTTCGGGTATTTTGGATATTTCGAATACTTCGAGTACTTAAAAGTAAACAAACTATTAGAACCAAAAATATTTGAACAATTACTGGAATTTTTCGGTTCCTAATATAAATACCCAAAATACCCGGATCCGAACCCGAACCCGAACCGAACTCAAAAAATACTCGAACGAATCCTAGACCTAAGAACCGAAAGAACTGAAACCCGAATTATCTGAACCGAACCCGACCCGACCCGAATACCCAAACGTCCATGTCCACCCATCTCTTTTTTTTTCCTCTTTCCCCAGCATTTAGGATTAATTGCACATGATGCCATCTTTACATTAGGGTTTTCAAAATTGTGCTTCTTTTTTTATGAAAATGCCATAAAACATGAGAACATGTTCTCAACTTTTTCTTCTCTTTCTTCTACTTTATTTTTTTTTTATTTATATTTATTTTGAGTGCACTAGGGAAGAGCTCTCATTGCTCATACTCTCAAGGACATATACACGGACGAGCATGCAGAGCCGTGCCTCCCTTATTATAAAAAAGGCAATGGCCTTAGGCCACAAAAAAAAAGTATAAATTAAAGGCCACATTTCTATAAAAATTGTTTGTATTATTTTAGTTGTTTAAGTTATTTATTTTCAATTTTTAATTTTACCCACTATTGTTAGTTTGTATGATTGCATTTTTTGTTTCATATTATACATGTATCATGTTTTCCAAACCAAATAATCTAATTATTTGCATATACATACTAATATGCACTTAAGAGAAATTGTTTTTGTTACATACTAAAAAAATGTTATGGACTTAAAATTTTATCAAAAAATAAATGATAACTAAAATAAATATATGTTTTAAAATCATATTTTTTTAGAAGAATGCATTTTTTATGATTAGTAAAAACTAAAAAGTATAAAATAATAGACATACTTAAATAAAATTAAAAAACTCACAAAAAAAGGCCACATATATTTTACTTCGCCTCAAGCCTCAGTGAGCGTTGGCACGGCACTGCGAGCATGTTCTCTGTTTCCCGGATTATTTCAAGGTTTCATATGTAAGAATCTCTTGTTTGGTTTTGTTGTTCAAAATTTATGATCTTTGCAGAGAAATTGAAAGCTACTTAGGCTTTTGATTGCCAATGAAACGATCTGTTGAATTGGATTATGCAATTAAGCTCTTGCTTTATTTTAAGCTTTATAGTCTTTGCTGAGAAATTGAAGCTACTTAGGAATTTGATTGGCAATGAAACGATCTGTTGAGTTGGATTATGCAATTAATTTCTTGTTTGTTCTGTTGTTCAAAGTTTATGGTCTTTGCTGGGAAATTGAAAGCTACATAGGGTTTTGATTGCCGGTGAAACGATCTGTTGAGTTGAATTATGAAATTTTGTATTAAAGAATCTCTCCTTTTTTCTTTAATTTCTAGGGCCCAGGCACTCAGATCGGGAGTTGCTGCTGCTACTCGCTGTAGTTCTCAGTTAGACTTTGGATTCCCTTTCTTGTTAGAAGCTTGCTGGATGAGTACTAGGAGAGAAATCATTGTTACGACCTCTCTCTCGGAAGAAATAGCTCAACACACTTTAGATGAAATTGAAAAACGTGTTGAAGTTGGAATAAGCCCCAAAACTAAAGAGGAGGCCAAACAAGTAATATCGTCTCTTACAACCTGCTTGGAGGAGAACAAAGTTTTGTTAAAAGATGCAGCTGTAGTATTGGCTGAGCTTAGAGCCTCAATGTCTCAGCCCGATGAATATGTTACTATGGAGAAGATAAGAAACGCAACAAAGGTTCTCCAGAGGTTATAAATCCAAAACTTTGTTTGATTGTTCTATTATGTTTTCCTTGCTCCTATATAACATATGTTTAGCTCATAAGGTTTCGTTTTCCCAGTCTCAACTATAATAATAAACGGTTCTTCCATTCTCCTTGTCATTAAACGGTTCTTCATTTTCCATTCTCCTTGTCATTAAACGGTTCTTCATTTTTACGAACTTCTCAAATAATGTAACTGACATTTATCTCAGGTTTACACATGTTTACACAAATACTCACCGAGTCGCTGTTAGATGTCTTCTCGGTTCCATACCTTCTCGAGCAACATAATATAGAGAGTTCATTGAAATTGAAATTCGCATATAATCTGATATCATCATTATACTCGGTTAACCATTGAAATTTTGTATAAAAATAGAGAGTTCAAAATGACAATATAAAAATTGTACTATGCCGACAAAAATTTTTTTTACTATATGATATGATTGAAAATTTGAATGAATATGCAGACAACGATTAATAATTTCTTAAGTATCAAAATATGAAACTAATTATGTAGTTTAGGGTCATTAGAATCAGAAACAACATTTAATAAAAATTATGGTAAGAGTTGTTATCATATTCAAAAAGAGTTTTAATTTGGATAACTTGAGTATAATATTAAATATTATTAAATCTAGTTGTATTAAAAAACAATATGTATAAGAAAAAACATAATATTAAACATTATTAATTTCTATTTAAATAAATAAATAAATGTATGTAAAAATGACTAAATATTAAAATTTTCAATATTTTTAATTTTCATCCACCTTAAGGATGACATCTTTACCTTTTGATTCATCTATCAAAACAAAATAAAACCCTAAATCTTAAAATTACCCGAAACACAATAAAACACTTATAAAACAATACTTAAAAGTAAGTTTACTAATTAGTAATTACAAAAATGACATTTTTGAAATGATTAAATATTTATAATATTCAAATATTATTCAAACAAGGCTCAATGAGATCATGTTATTCATATATTTATATATACCTCCGCGGCGAGGTACTCTAGAACGGCTGCAAGATAGACCGGAGCACCAGCCGACACGCTTGGCGTATCTACCTGTCTTGAGGTACCTGGCGATTCTTCCCACGGGGAACTGAAGACTGGCCTTTGACGAACGTGAGACGGCTGACTTGGTGGCCTTTCCCTTTCCTTCTCTTCCACCTTTGGTCGACGTGCCGCTTTGTGCGCCTTTTCTCATCTGGAGGAACCTGGCGAATCTTCCCACGGGGAACTGAAGACCGGCCTTTACTGAACGTGATACGGCTGATTTGGTGGCCTTTCCCTTTCCTCCTCTTCCACCTTTGGTCGTGTCGCTTTGTGCGCCTGTACTCATCTTTTATTTCGAAATAAAGACTGAGAAGTGTGATAGATGTTGACTATTGAGTGTCCCCAGGGGTTTTAATTTTTAATCGCTCTTAGTCAAAGTCATTATTATATTAAATATTGTATAAACTATATATTTTCATGTTCTTTTATCGTATAAATAAATATATTTATAGTAAAAAGATGGATTTAGATAAAAAAAGTTAAAGGATGGAAAATATATATTTTTAATAGATATAGCTTTTTAGGAATAGGAAGTGAAAAAAACATTAAAACAAACCATGAAAGAAAACATTTTGTAAGAAAAAACAATTTTAAAAACGTATCCAATTGTGTTTGCCGCATTTGGATTTTGAAAACACAGAGTCAACTCAAACTTCTGTGTCTTAAACATCAGAACCAGCGTCCATTTACTTATATGTGGCAAACATGAACCTGACTGGACTATAAATTTTGCGTCCACCCTGGGTTATATATGGCTTCTTCCTTCCATTTCCAAGTTGATTTCGTGTCCTGAGTGCAACCTGCTCATTACCCACAAGTTGATTTCGTGTCACTCTCTTTTGCCTCACATAGACCTTCAATGGCTTCGGATGAAGCTGTTTCAATGGCTTCTGATGAAGCTGTAGCTGACCGTCATCTTCTTGGTTCGCTCCCGTCTGTTCCGGCTCGTCGAGAGACTGAAAAGAGGGGGAATATGAAGGCTGTAAACTCTGAAACGTATCATATCGCTGCGGTGACTCTTCTGTTTCTCTAGCACTGCTGTTTCCTCTTTTTCTTTTTCTTGTGCCAGGATTCTCTTCATTAACAACTCGGTTGCGTTGATCGCTTTGGTAGAGATTGTCCTTGTCTTCTGCCTTGTCTTCTTCATCCTCATCCTCATAAGGTAATACACTGTCCTTTGGCCAGACAATGTATGTGCCAACTGCATTACTTAACATCTCAACGTCATCTTTTGGTTTCCAAACAGGTATGTCTATCATGACCTTAGAAACTGTCACAACAACTTCATGAGGCTTCACGGGTACACTGTGGATAACTAAACGGCTTGGATCTCTAACCCCTATTGCAACAAAATCCTTACTACCATTAGGGTTGATCAAGTAGCACTTCAAAATCTCACGCGTTCCCTTCTGCTTTCCTGCGTCAATCACGGGAATAGTAGGAGAACGAGACGCTGAAGGGTGCATGGGAGTAACATTCGTTAGAACTTCGCGAGCAAAATGATCCGTTCCACCTACAGTCCCTAGCCCCTCTTCTCTTTCCTCGATAATAGACTGAGACGGATTCAGAAGACTTTTTCCCACTTCCGCAACCCTCTGGTCAATTCTCCGGTAAAGCTGCCGTTTAAGGCGATTCAACCCACTGTCATCTTTTTTTCTTGGCACTGCTTTCTGAACTTGACCTCTTCTCCCAACTTGAGCTTCTTTATCATTTTCTTTCGTCGTCATTTCTATTTCTCGATTTGACACATCTCTATCATAGAGATCTTCCCAACACACGACCTGATTATCTCTTAGAGCAGCATTCCAGGTAACTCTTCTGTCAACATAATCAGCGTTTTCAACTATGTTGGCCACAAGATGTTGTTCATCTGCTTCAGGTTCCAAGATACTCTGAATTTCCTATAAAAATAGTTACAAAATTTATGGCCATACTGTGTATTTCCTATTAAAATAGTTTCCAGAACCAATATGTTGGATTGAGAAGAGAATAGGTTGAGAAGCTCGACTAACCTTGGTTTCGCCAAGATGCTCATATATGCGCTCTAGAGGAAAACCTTTGAGATCGTAGTCAACGAAATGACTTTTGCACATTCGAGGACATGCATTATTTGCTTCCGCTACATCTTTTAGATGTGAATTCTTCAGGTTTGGAATGCTCTCAAACGCCAAGCGCTGCAAATGACTCAAAAGATCAGAAAAAAAAATCTATGCAAACCAGAAAAATTCTAAAGAGATAAGAAAAGTATATACCTCCAAACCAAGGTAGAATCCCTCAAAACAAAATGAAGGATTCGGAATGCCTTTCTGGTTTTCTACGTAGTTTCGGATTTTTGCAACACAGTTCTTAAACGTATAGCTTCCCCAAGGAAAGCGTCTACAAAGAGGCAGATCATCAACTATGTTTACCAAAAAGTCATCTATTTTTGTAGTCTGTTTCTTCTTTCTGGCGATAACAGATGTCAAGAAGTACAAGACAGCAATTTTTAAGCGATCATCACCTTCACCTTCTTCTGTCATAGCCTCTAACTTCTTCTCCACAGTTGAGAAATCTATTTTGGAGGTCTCTCCAAAATGTTTTTTGATAAAGTCACAACGACTTGACTTTCTATCGTAATTATCTGGAAGCGGACCACACGACAACCCGGTGATTAGAGCATGCTCTCTAACCGAGTATCTTATCGGAATACCGTTCACAATGAACCAGCACTCGTCTAGCATCATTGTTCACAATGTTATAATTTTTATACATTACGTTTTTTTAATTTTATTTTATCACATATTTCATATATTTTATCACATTAAATTTCCTTATTAAATTTCTACATATTTATTCATTTTTGGTTAAATGTCGTATTTAATCAAAAAGGATAAAAGTTGACCCCAAAAATCATCTACTAATAAAGGATAAAAAAGTTGAGGCCAAAAAAAGAAATAAAATTGGAAAAAGAAAAGTAAAAAATCGTAAAACAATTAAAGAAACCGAAAAAAATAAATTCACGCGGGCGAACCGGGAGGAAATGAACCATAATTCGAGTCGGTCCAATCAATCCCAGTTTACAAACCGAGCGTTTGAAAGACGCTAAATTAACTTGAATACAACGTGAGCCGGTCGAACCGGCCAAATCAATCCCGGTTAACAAACCGAGCGTCGGAGAGACGCTACATTGACTTGAATACAACGCAGAAACTCCTTGTTTATATACTCAGCCTCCTCCTCCACTTTTCATTGTACGTTAAAAAAAAAACTTTGAGGCTTTTTGATTCCGGCGAGGTCTTTGCTTTTTGTCATAGGACTTCTTGACTAAGAGCTAACTGATGATAATTCATGTAATCAATCCCGTTTAACCGGACACAGCACAGAATCTGCTCCGGTAATTCCTCCGGTTTATTTCCCTGAAAATGAGATTTCACAGTTAACAACCACAGTTTTGACACAAAAACTCGTTTAAAGAAGCTAACATTTTACAGAACAGTACCTGAATTGTGAGTCCAACATCAAGAACACAGTGCTTGAGCCTGTCTAAAAATGCTTCAAATCCTTTCCGCGATATATAACTGAATCTATGCATATCGATATCAATCTCAAAGTAATTTTCACCCTACAAGTTCAAATTTCAAAACTAAGTTTGTTAAGCATTATATTGCAAGTTTCAATAGACTTTCCATTTGTTATGATACTTGTGACATACCGAGTAGAACTCGTGCTGCGGACGTGAAAGCACAGGTTTTTCGTTATAAGCATTCATGAGTTTTTTCTCTGCGCCATTCAATTGGAGATCATCTACATTCGCAACACGCCCCAATATCTTTAACCGTTCTCTAAAGGGTACATTTGTATCCATGGTAAAGCCTCTAACTTTCTCAACCTCATCATCTAGTAATCTCTGCATATTTCCAAAGACAAAGCGAATCAAAAAAGCGTATTCAACAGAAGAGCACAGAGCAAAAAACAGAATCACAAGGTGGAAGATTAAACTACCTGAATGCTTTCTTGAAAATGAGGTGGAAGCTCCTTTAAATAATTATCCGAAAGTTTAAAGTATAAAACAAAATTCATTCCTTCTCCATCAGTTTCACCTTGAAAAATTGCAGCTGGATACAATGGAATCTATGATTCCAATAGCAACATTATCATTAAACCAAAACACCGGAGACAATGCAAAAGAATAACGATTTAACCATGGAATAAGATAATATACCTGAACATTTACAACAAGGATTGATGGGAGCTTGGTCGGGGTGGTGGTAACAATAGGAAGCTCCACGTATTGCGCTATATGGTTTACTTTACGTTGAGATAAAAATACATCGACACCAAATGGATTATATGCAGCATAGTTTGGTGCAAACTCTTTCTTCTTTTCTCTACCAAGAAAACGAAATATCAGTTAAAGTTAGTAACAGAACATACAATCAGGTATTTGAAACAACAAGCTCTCTCCGTATGTTTACCTGAAATAAGTTTTGCTACGAACCCGGAAACTACCTGGCTCAATAATTGACCAAGAATCGAACATTTGCTTTTCGAGCGGACAAAACGGAACCTGAGAACCTGCCATCGGTCTCTGCAACTGCATTTTTGTAGAAACTGAAACATTGTAGAGAACAAAGTGAGTTCTTGGATTGAAATCCCTTCAGTTCGAACGCAATGGAACGACAATTGAAACTTACATAAAGGACCGGTAGCGTGCCCTTCTCTCCACTTGAAAGATAGTTTAAGCGCAGCTTTTTTCCTCGTACTCGGAGGGCTAGAGCTTAAAGACCTTCTCTTTTCAATAGAGTGAACAGTTGAATTAAGACAAGGCAAACAATTGCTCGGAAGAATCCCGCAGTTTTCCAACAATCCTTCATCTTTTCTAGAGCTATCACCAGCATTTGAAGATATCTCGTCAATAAAAACAGGCTGCTTAGCGTCAATCAAAGCACTCTCTGCTTTTGATTGTGAAATGACATCATCTACGGTTGGGTGAGAGTTGGAAGTTTTGAGACCATCGCTTAGAGAATTCCGAGCGGAACCACCAAGGTTAGAGTCTCTAACAGATGACATACTCGAGACTGAGATACGCTCACCTCCGTTTACTGACAAAATATCTGAAACAAAACCCGTAAAAGATGAAACAAAAGCGATATATTAATCCTAAGATGAATCAAAAGAATGTATAAAACAGCTTTTGCTTGTACCTTCCTGAACACTGTGAAAATCATCATCACAATCGGTTTCAAAGGCGAGGTTGGAATCAAACCATGCTTCATCAACACTTGCTGTTTAATAAAAACAGTGAGACCAAGTCAGGTGAATAATTATAACTCTAACAGAGACTGAAGAATTCAGCTAAAGTGACACAAGTCACGAGTTGTTTCTTAGTCTGATCCTCACAAATCAATGCTCATCAAAGATTTTAACCATTTAGAGAAAGATTCACTCTTTTTGAGTAATAACCCCACAAATCTAACATAAATCAAAAAACTTTTAGCTAATCTAACAACACTCTAACCACAATCTAATCCCCAATTACCCAAACTAACACATTAAACAATCAAAAGACCTAACATTTAGAATTCAATCAATCAAAAGCTTCAACAACCTTCGAGATACACAAGAAAGACAATAACCCATGAAGCCAAATCGATCAAAAAACACAGAGCAAGACCAAAACCAATAGAGAAATGCAGAGAGAAACAAAAGATGGGTTTTTTGAATTGAGAGATTAGAGAGAGAGAGAGAGAGACCTCTGAAAGTAGGATTAGAGAAAGAACGATCGTGATTATTATCGAAAGATCCGTCAGATAAGCGAGAAGAAGAAACAACTCTTTTCTTCTGAATCTTTCGTCTTGTCCGAGTCTTTCTCCTTTTGCTTGACCTTATTTTACCTCCTACACAGCTCTTAGGCGTTGACACGCAACCTCCCATCTCTCTCTCTTCTCTCTCTGATCACAAATTCAACATATAAGATCTCTTTCTAAACCCAGAACTTTTAGAGATAGAGAGAGAGAGAAAGCTGTGTCCTTTATCTCTTTCTCTTAAAAACCCAGAACTTGTAGAGAGAGAAAGAGAGAAAGTTGTTTCCTTATTCTTCTCTCTTCTTCTTCTGATCAGAAATCAGATAGAATCTGCCAGACACGATCTTCAAATCCAGTAATGGGAAATATTTAGAGAGAAATATGGTAAATGAGACACAGACAACTAGACAAATAATTTGGTGAAGAAGAAGCTTTTTTTCTTCTTTACTTCGAAAACAAAAAGCAATTAAACAATAAAAAGTAATTTTTTGATTGGTTAAATATTTTTTGGGATTTGTGAAGTCAATTGAGAAAATTGGGGAATTTTTATGAAATGACAAGTTGTTAAATTTCAATAGTTATCGCATATACGGTGAGTTAACGGCATCTTCCAAAAGCAATTACGGTCACTTATTTTAGATTTAGGATTGAAGTAACAACACATTTGGATTTATCTTATTTAACGTTTTGTACTAATCTGTGTAATTATTTATTTACGTACTTTATGCTTATTTGAGGGGTTTTTCTTAATAATGTAACAATTCATGTGATGGAGAATGAGAATGTGTAGATTAGGATGGCAAATAATTTTCTTTTATTTTACATGAACATGGTTATAACTTATAAGTAGGTGATTAGTTATTACTCCCTCCGTTTTCGAATAGTTGTCGTTTTAACTATATGCACACAAATTAAGAAACTATTAATGTTGTTAGTTTTTCAATATAAAAATATCATTAATTATCTACCTAAACATAATTTAACCAATAGTAAATCAAGTTGCATAATAAAAATAAATATAAAAAATAAAAAAGTAATAAATTTTGCATCGAAACTGAAAACGACAACTAATTAAAAACAAAAAAATTTCTCTAAAACGACAACTATTCGAAAACGGAGGGAGTACTTATTAGAATCTAATTGGATTTGTTTAGTATAGTTAAAAGCTTGGTATATTGATCAAATGAATATAACTTCAGTTTTTAATACAGTATATGACAATATATTTCAAAACTATACAAAATTTATCATTGAATTCAATTCCTTAATATGAATTTTATCAAAACAAATATTTAGGATTATTAAAATACGACGTTGTAGTTTTATAGTTTCTTTGTTTAGTTTAATGCTATATAAAAGATTTATACTTTTCATATAACCTTTAACAAGAAAAAGCTATATATAATTTCCTCATAAAATACATCATTATCTTGAAGTGTACAAATGATATGTAAGTGGATGTGGAACTTGAACCAAGACATAACTTAGAAAATGCGTTAAGGTGGGTTACTAAACAATTTAATCAACTACAAATAAAACAATTATTAGATAATTATATATCTTTTTTTTTTCATCCGATAATTATATATCTAAGGAAATAACATAAATTAACATCGATTGTCTAAGATATATATAATTTGTACTAACAAAAAAACACGTATAAACCGGGTGCTTGTCTCCTGGTGGTAAAGGAACCTCGGCTGAGGCACCCGCCACCCGGCTTCGAATCCCGGCCACTGCGCAATTTACCTGCGGGGCGCAACGTCCCAGACCACCAGTTCCAGAGGGTTCTTAAGTGGAGGCTTAAAAATCTCAGGCACGCGGGCTTAGGTCCAGTGAGCTAGTCGGATCACAGTGTGGTCTGGACACTGGGTTATAAAAAAAAACACGTATAAGATAAGCATTATACACAAGTTATATCTAGACTCAAGAAGCAAAAG